TGTGTGTGTGTGTGTGTGTGTGTGTGTGTGTGTGTGTGTGTGTGTGTATATGTATGTATGTATGTATGTATGTATGTATATTTTACAGTTAAACTGTGTGGCAACTACTGAGCGTATGAGCCAACAATGTCCTCAAAACACCCACAAGCAATAACCTCAAGGGGCAATGAAGTGGCCAGGTATAAATATTGACACTACTTTTTTTTTTTTTTTTTTTATTGCTGTTTTGTGCTCATCTGTATTTATTGTTTTAAGAGAAGAGCATTTAAATTAATATTCAATTGAAGGACTTTGAAGAATTACTTTTTTTTTTTTTTTTTTTTTTTTATATGTTTACCTCCTCACACTATTTGTGTTTATCAACAAAATCCAGGAGGTCATGTTTTTCTTTTTTCTTCTAAATAAATTCAAAATAATATAATTAAGTTAATACCAATACATTCCTCCCGAGGGACAAACTTGAGGCCACTGTTGCTGTGAGACACACAGCCTCTCACTGTTTCATGTCATGTGACGGGATGCGCTGCCTTTGAATGGATTAGAAGATTGGATTCCTGTTAACATGTGACACACGCATGAGAAACGCAGTATGGCTTCACTGGAGAAGAAGTCTGATGTTGTGAATGCACTGTCGAAGGAAAAAGAATAAAATGTACTGAAAATATTCTCAAAACCTGGATTTTTTTTTTTTTTTTTTTTTTTTTTTTTTTTTTTTTTTAAAATCTGAATAAACGGTTTATCCAAAAAGGAAGAAAGTCATTTGTATTTTCTGTACGCTGTCGTGAAAATATGTTTAATGCTGTGCTGAGCTTTTCTGCCTAATGGAGGCCCTCAGTGGAGCCACTATTCTGGTGACTGCAGGAAAAACAATGATTGCTGATTTGGGCTCTGTTGCCTTTTTTTTGGGTGAAGATGAAAGCAGGAACAGTGAAGTTGGCATCAGAGAAAAGAGAGGTTCACAAGAGAGGGTGATGTAAAAGGTGTTTGCACCCGTTTCAGTCGTCCCACACCGAGCATGTCGTCCTGAGGCCAACCGTAGAGTAACTCGTCCACAAACTGCCCTGAATCTGAAACCAGGAAAAGGGAAGTGTGGTTTTGCACATACAATTCATGAAAAGCAGGTGCATCGTAGACATGCAGGACCTTTTTACCAAAGCATATAGTCACTGAGGAGCATGCCCTTGTCCTGCAGCATATTCTAAACATTGGCATCCTTTTTGGCCGGTGCATCGTTGTGCCGAGTGTCACTTTTTTAGTGGTCTTTGTATGGGTTGCTCTTTGATTGGCAGCTATAGTCCCTCTCTGTCCTTCTATCCTTTTTTTTGTGAGAATCATGAGGGTATTTGAAAAGAAAAGAAAATCCGAGGATTCAACAAAACCTTAAATATCTCATGATGTATGTGTAATAAAGAAATTGGCCTTGTGATTACAGAATAAGTGCAGCAGTAGGAAGTTGCATCCTGCCGCTTATACCTCGACAGCTGCAACAAATGAGTGTAAGCCCCAAAGGTAACCCCCCCCCCCAAGGTCACCGTGAGACCTGCCGCACGGTGTCTTTGTCTTTTGATGATTTTCCTTTCTACCATCACACTGTGAAGAGCTCCTCAGCATGGGGCCCTTTAGATTAAAGACACCCACACAGCCCTGATCTCACCTTCCTTAAACTGACCAGTCACATGTCAACGGGCCTCCAACACGCTAATCATAAATTATTGTTTATCATGCAAAAACATTGATAAAAAACACATGATGAAAATGGGCTTTGTAATATTTTGCACACTTGTGATGGAAATGCTTAACGATAGGTGTGTGTGTGTGTACACATTGTCAATAATTATGTAGAATATTTTTTAAAGCATTTAACTCCACCATCTGGGTAAATAAATCCATCCTAACCAACATTAAATTGGCCCCTTTTCTTCTGGCTCATATCAAACAGGATTTGAGCTGGTTAATCGATTACTCAATTATCTGATTGACAACTATTTCGACACTCGATTTAAAGGAAGGGTAGACTGAATGGAACTGCTATGGACAAAACAAGCATTTTGATGAAGGCTTTTGGGAACATTATGTTTATTTTACACCACATTTCAAATCAAACGAAGTGCTCATCAGATTAATCAATAAGGAAAATGAATCACAGCCATGGTATTAAATAAATTGCTGGGTTTTAAGCACAATCACACAAATACAGGCTGACAATAACGCGGTATACCGACAACTGTATGGTGTTTTGCCTCCCTCGCGCCATTAATATCTCGCGGCCTGATTAAGTTGGGGTGTTCTTGCAGGTATTCGAGTGTTTTCACAGAAACATAAGAGCGTAGTAATATGAGCATTCCTCCTCGTCTCTTCCACAAATACCCATCCCCCATCCTCCATTCCTGCCTGTTAACGCATCCCTCACTGGGCATGCGGGAAGTGAGCGAGACGGTGGATGGGGGGCGCTGCGGAGTCGCACAGGAGGCCGGTCTCTGCGATACAATCTACCAAGAGAGGGGGGTGAAGGAAAAAAACCAACTGGGTAGGTCGGTCTTTGTTTCTGGCTAGGAGGAAAAAACCGAGAGACGTTGCAACCGGAGAGGATTTAAACATCAGCGTTCACCATTAGTGTAAGTCAACTACGATTCGGATATGAGTTCGAGAGAGTTTTGTCTGTGTTTCACGCCGCTGTGGAGAGGATACGTGCGCTTTTACACGGCGCTTTTTTGTTGAGAAAACGACGAGACCCGACATTACAGTGCCGCTGCCGTGGCGCGACAGTGTGCAATGAATGAAAATTGTTTTTGGAAATGTGGTTAGAGCGGAGCACCGTGCCAAGGGTACGGGTGGCGCGTTGGATCAATCAGCCCCGGCGATGAGGGATGCTCTAACCTTTCGCACGTCGCCGCATCTCGAGAAACATCTCGAAAAACAACGCATTTTTTGTGCCCAATTGGCCTGTGCGAGCGTGGCCGGCTAGGCTAACTTGACTAGCTCGCTAGCATGCTAAGCACCGTCGGCAGCCAGCTTATGTTGCGGTATCAATACAGGCTTTTACCTAGCTAGCATGCTAGCCTCGGTCGGGCTGCTGTTCTTTGTCGCTTTTACCCAACACATATAGTGTCGTTTTACCGGCGAGCCAGCTCTCCGGCGAAAACCGGGAAGCTCGTATCACGTTAAGTGAAACTGGGGGTTTAAACGATGAGCTTACCGTTTGTGAACAGACAAAGTGTAACGTTAACTATTAAGTCCTGCTAGGCCTGGCTAACGCTGGCAAAGCTACCCGTGCTAACACTAGCTATCTTAACTGTTATGTGATACAACGTGTTTGTAAATGTAAACATTGTAACAACCGGAATGGCGCGAAGTTTTTACTTTGAAAAGCTGTTCTCTCTGTGACTTTCAGCGGCCGTCTGTGTCAGCAGCGGTTGTGTATTGTTGAACGGAGACGCGTCTACATCATTCTTTTGACCCATAAAGTGACAGTTTAGTTGACCTCTTGAACATCACTGTGTGTATGAAGCTCATCATTTGTATGTATGGCTTCATCTCTTTAGTCTCTTAACTTATTGCTCCCAAATCAGAAGTGTGGTATCAGTGTTGTGAATGATCTTCTTCCATTCAGCAACCGACCATCTGTTACAACTTGAGTTCCCAAAGGTTCATGATTGGATATATTTGAAAGCACAGTGCACCCCACAACCTTATAAAAAGAGTTGTGATTAGTTGTGGTTTGGAGGTTTTGGTTTAAGTTCGCACAACAACAGCAGATCTGCTATTTGAGTGTGGTTTACACGTGACAAAGCACCAAACAATACATCTTAACAAACACAACAGCAGCATGACTTTTCCAAAATAGTTCTTCAACACGCTCTGAGGTTATAGAGAGACGCTTTCCGAGTACGCCGCTAACTGTCCTGTACTGTTTCACTGCACCATTTACGTATGATTGCGATTAACAGTGTAATTGTCGTCATGGTTGAGTTTTTCATATGTAAATATTACGGTGAATTGAGCTCGTTCGGGTTGCGGCGAGCCGGACCTCAGCAGGTCAAGCCCAACCGTGTCTGGTGAGTTTGTGCTTCAGAAAAAAAGAAGCTCCCATGAGGGGTTTTATTATCTCCATTTTGCAGTCTTTAATATTGAATTCAAACAGTTTGTACATTGCTAAAATGATCACAGTTGATTGTGTAGCTCAGTCTCCTCCATCATTTGGACTCGAACAACTACTGCACTGTAAATACATAGAAAAATATTCTGCGCCTTGTTGTCATCTCTTCCTCACAGGGGTACTTTCTGCTGCCACACGTTCCCAGGTTCCCCTGAGAGATGTCCACTCCTGACCCCCCAATGGGAGGGACGCCTCGGCCGGGACCCTCCCCAGGCCCAGGGCCGTCTCCGGGAGGCATGATGGGCCCGAGCCCCGGTCCCTCTCCCGGCTCGGCCCACAGCATGATGGGGCCTAGCCCGGGACCTCCCGGATCTGGACACCCGCACCCTCCACAGGGACCCTCGGGATATCCTCAGGACAACATGCACCAGATGCACAAAGTAAAAAGCTGTTTATTTGTTTCCTTTTTGGTAAAAAAATACACGATTCTGTAAGTTTCTGTGATTATGCAGTAAGAACTAACTTTTTTTTACCTATTTGCCTCCAATATAGCATTCAAAATGAATGTTCCAACCTCTCATCAAAATGCGTTTCATGTATGATGATCTTTTTAATCAGCCCATGGAAGCCATGCATGAGAAGGGGATGCCCGATGACCCCCGCTATGCTCAGATGAAGGGCATGACCATGAGACCAGGGGGGCACAGTGGGATGGGACCCCCTCCGAGCCCAATGGACCAACATTCCCAAGGTAACGTCACGCAACGTTGCGTTTGAGGAACGTTGCGTCCTGAGTCGAAATTTGTCGACGGATGAAGCATGAGAAAATGCATTTCTCCTGCGAATGTCTTTGGTGGCGTGCTCTGCAGTCTGCACGCGCCACGAGGGTTGCCAGTTTGAATCCTCAGATTACTTGAGTCGCTGTAGTCGTTGGAGAAAAGATTAGAATGAAGGATCAACTTTTTTGTCCTCGAAAAGCTCCGCACAGTCAGAACGGATAACGCAGACGTAGTGTGTGTGTGTGTGTGTGTGTGTGTGTGTGTGTGTGTGTGTGTGTGTGTGTGTGTGAGTGTGTGAGTGAGTGAGTGAGTGAGAGAACCCATCCAGCCGGTTTCTCTTCTTGTGTTGCTGCTCATTTGGCAGCATGAGCAGACAGCAGTAGGCAGGACAACGGGAGGGGCGGGGCTGAGGGGCTTCCCCTGTCAGACAACAACAAAGGCAGCTGCGTCTACGAAAAGCACACAGTCAGTAAGCAGAAGAGGATAGGAAGTAAGAGACGCAGAAGAACACTGATGTGAACCAATAGTGGTGTCTTTGATATGTAGATAGTTCCGTGTTTAACGGAGGTAAAGAGTGTTTTGTTCAGTTGTTTCTTGGGCAGTCTTGGAAGAGAATAAAACTACATGTTACTTAGCTTATACTCAGTATTTTAACTTTTATTAAGGTCAAATCTGGCTGAGTTAACATAAATTGAAGCTTCCGAACCCGATTCATAACAGAGTTGTGTTCAGAATTGCATACGAACGTACTGCGTGCTCCATACTCGGATCAGTATGTACTGCATACTGCCTACTAAATTAATGATGAAGTATTCCATTAGCAGCAGACCGTTCACACTGAAGTAAACTCAAGCAATACGTCTTCTCTGCGTCACATGACCGTATCGACCACGACGTTACCGGTCAAAGCTACCGTTGAATGGAAATTGTTAATCACAAATCAACATTACCTCTTCCTTTCAATATTTTCCGGTATTAATTTAAGGCAAATTAAGATTATTACATGTTTTAGCATTTTCCACAGTACATTTTATACGTGAGATCCTGCGTATTTCCCTCTTAGCTGTGCCTCAATGTAACTCGCCATCATTCCTAATTATTTAATCCAACCAGTTAATTGTTAAAACCGTCTTCCTCGCAGTCCGTGGTTTTGGGGCGGTTATGTATATCCACTCTACTCAGAAATTCTTGCTAATCTAGTATAAATCTACAGCCGAGTCAATCGGAACGCACCTCGTACTAAATGTTACGTCACACTTAGTATGAATAGTACGTTAGTGTGCGATGTCTAACAGAGTAATGAATCATTTCGCATACCCATCATGCATCTGTTCCGTGTTCCCCAGGTTACCCCTCTCCACTGGGAGGCTCAGAGCACGCACCCAGCCCTGTCCCAGCCAACGGCCCTCCCCCCGGCCCCATGATGCCCGGCGGTCCCCCCGGCCCCATGATGGCCGGCGGTCCCCCCGGCCCCATGATGCCCGGCGGTCCCCCCGGCCCTGGGGCCGGCCCCATGGAGGGCAGCGGGGACCCGAACCATGTAATGGGTCAACCTAACCGCGGGGGTCCCCAGGGTCCGGGCGGACCCAGCGTGGCAGGAGTTGGACCCAGCGGTGCAGCTGGTCCCGCGCCTTTCAACCAGAACCAGTTGCACCAACTCAGGGCTCAGATTATGGCGTACAAGATGCTGGCCCGCAGTCAGCCCTTACCGGACCACCTGCAGATGGCCGTGCAGGGGAAAAGGCCCATGCCGGGGATGCAGCAACCGCCGATGCCCAACATGCCGCCCTCCACGGGGCCTGGTGTTGGGCCTGGAGTTGTTCCTGGACCCGCTCAGGCCAACTACAACCGACCACACGGTGAGTTAAGTTGGGCCCACAGGAAGCCGGTTTAGTGTGTTTTTGTAATGATATCCAAGCATGAGCTTTGAACAAAGAAAGCAGA